ATGTGGACTTCTTAAAGTTGTCAAGGTTGAGAAACACTGGTCTAAGAAGAACTCTTAGGGAAAAGCTGGATATGAGATGCTTCTCAATATGGAAATGTGACTGCATCAATGGCTTAAGGATCTTGTAGAGTTTCCAGATCTGGCCCTAAAAATCCATAGAACCATCTGATGGCAGCAAAGAGATATAGAATACAGTATGCTTAATCTTTGCTCCATCTAGTGGATGATCAGCTTTTTGCAGCCCATGTTCAGTAGCCCTAATATCTTGAATCCTTCTGGTACAGAAATGCAACTTTGGGTTATGATGCTGTTTAAATGTAAGTAAAAATGAAGACTGTCAGAGCCTGTAAATTAGTAAATGTGCAAGGCTGATAAATGAAAGGGATTTTACAGCACTGCAGTCTGTCCAGTCAACCACTATCATGCACTCTTGATTAGTCAACCTTTTTCTCTTGCTTTGATGGATTTTGGGAACTAGAGAAACCAGAGGGAGCAACATCAGCTCTCTTTGGCTTCCAGTGGTGGCATAACATCTGTGGAATGGTTAGGGCCACAAATTTGGGGTGATGGTTAAGGGTTAAAATAGTTATGATAGGAGAGGCTTAAGGCAGTGTTCCTCAACCTTGGCAACTTTAAGATGCGTGGACTTCAACTCCCAGAATTCCCCCAGCCAACATGCTGGCTGGGGGAATTCTGGAAGTTGAAGTCCACACATCTTAAAAGTTGCTGAGGTTGAGAAACACTGCCTTAAGGCTCTAACTTTATCGCTAGCACTCTCTCCCATGTAGCCCCCAAATTTTGGCTTCACTCATTCCAGGGATGCCTGTGGACTACAACCTGGGGGGGTAGGGACCCTATGCTGCTTACATGCCATGGGTTACCCCGATATAGGCATTCATCCTTAAACATGCAGCAGCAAAAATTGGGGCCAAAAGAGCATAGAACCATGCAGAGAGACGTCTACCGCCCTGCAAATAACACACAGCGTGGATCCACTGACATTTAATTTATGTTACATTTATGTTCTGTTTCTTACCTACAGAGGAAGGAGGTACGTTATATCCTTAAATTCGTTCTTGGCTGGGACCCCAGATGAATGTTCTCTCTCTCTCCTTTGGGATCCAGTGTCTGGTTTGCACTCGCTCATCTTTTGCATTCACAAATATCCTTCATCGTCAGCGGCTATATTTTTCTGGGTCATCCTACATGTTGTTCATTGTCAGTAACTGGGTAAAGCATGAATATAGGGATTGGGGGAACACGAGTTCCCTTTTAAAATGTGGGGTTCCTGATTGCTTTCAGACAGATTTGGTTTCAGACTTAGAAGTCAGAATCTTTCTAGTTCGGGACACCTGGTTTCCCGCAGATGTTTTGCTTCATGCAGAAAACCTGATCAATAGTTTGTTGTTCAGGGGCGTCTGCCCCTTGTGGTCAAAAAAGTCAAGATCGCAGCCACGCGTTTTATGTGCATCACAGGTGGAGCTTTGATTGCACTGTTGTGGTTGCCATCTTGACTTTTTTGACCATACCCAGCAGACACCGCCGTTGTTATTGATCTCCCAAACCCTGGAAAGCTCATCTATTAAGTATGTATAGCAAACCAGGGGTACATCTATTCCAAGAAATCCATAAGATTTTGTTTCGTTTCAGGCAACAATTCCGAGAATCTCTGTTTTAATAGTTCTTTTCATCCATCCTGTACTGAACTAGCACTACTAATTATTTATGAAGGGTTGTCTGAAAAGATCTTTAAATAAGAGGGAAATAGTTGCTAGCAAAACTTGAGTCTGTGTTTTGCCTACCCATCTGCATGTCTATCATTGTTTCCCTTGAGTATTTCGCAATTATCTCTGCTGGCAGTTTGAGTGAGGAATGACGTGGTTGTTAAGGATGGGGAATAACATTCCCCTTATGTCTTTGTCATGGCTCTCCTCCAAACACCCCACAGATAAGGGGGGGGGAGGGGAGAGACAGTTAACCTCCGTTACACACGCTCTCTTTTTCCAGCCTAGCCAGACTCAGCACCTTGTTGCTATCCAAAGGAGAAGAGCTGTGAGCAAGCTCTTTTCTTCTTGTTCTTTACTGTAATGCTATCCTCCTGCCCTTTGCTCTTTGAAATGCTGACTGGCACATGGGCAAACAGCATCAGATCATTTCCACCAGGAAGACGATGTCATTTTAGAGCAATAGCTAGACATCACAGGCAATGGAGAACATCCCGGGTGTTACCTGGGCTAGACAATGTCCCAGACTGGCCATACATCATCTCCAACATGTACCCATTCCAACAAACAAAGGGGACTTTTGTTTTCTATTGTGGTCTCTAGGGAAACCCTATGGATGGGTTGGCAAGAGGGATCAAGCTCTGTCACTTTTGCAGTTGTGTGTTCGTGCCAATGGTATTGTCTACCAGTAGCAAGAAAGCCCTGTTAGGAAGGGATAGCAGTGGAACTGTTTGCTAGTATAGATGGTCCTGCCTTGCCCCTTCCCAGCAGCTGCCCCTGAAGAGGACTGGATCCAGATGATCTTAGAACCCTGTTGTGTCGTTAGGATAGTCCAGGATTCGGGATAGTCCCGCTCCTGGCTCACATAGCGGTGAAGACATTAGCTGCAACCCCTCTCCAGCCCAGCATTGCCACTACATAAAGGTGACCGAAAGATATACCATTTGATGTCCTTCTAGATGCCAAAATGGGTGAAGCTGACATTTTAGACTAAAAGAGATCGATACGGCGGATGATGGCACCAACTCCATAACCTGTTTTTGTTTCTCCTCCTCAGAATTTGTGGAAGTCGTTACCCTACCAAAGAATGATTTAATGCAGAGAATTGAAGGTAAGGAAGTGCTGACTGAAAGCTTGTTTGAGATGTGGAACTGAAGCCTCCTTGCAAGAACCAACCTGCTTTTCTTTAAAAGGGTATCTGCAGGGAAGAAAATGTTTCACAATGAGAAGTTTGGTGTGGCTGCCCTCCCATATCCCCTTAGCTTGGAAGAGCCTCACTGAATTCAGTGGGATTTCACAGGAGGCACATAGAGCATTGCACTTTGAGGGCACAGCTTGCAAGTTCCTGGGAGCTGGATTGTTGAAGCAAGTTTGCAATTTCCCATCTTCTTGCAGAACGGGACAGAATAGCAAGTTCAGAACAAGTATTCAGGCAATGGAACATCTCTGCCGTGTCTGGCTGGAGCCAAACCTCCTCAAAATATCCGAAATGCAAATCTCTAGGTGGCTGGCAGCAACTGCAAAGCTGTTGAGGTTGCAGTTTAAGAAAAGCAGCAGCAAACTCTCTTTTTCATTTTGATGACTGTCCCATGAAACCCAGATGATGTTTGAAAGCTCTAATTTCAAGAAAGAGTTTGGCTAGATAACATTAACAGCAGCTGAAAAGGAAGATATCAGGGTTGACTCCATCTATGCAATCCTCTTTTCTAACTCTAAAGCGTAATAAAAATTAAAAAAAAAACATCATTATCTAATCATATATTTTAGAACCAAACTAAGTGATCAGCAGAATTATAGGGCCCACTTCTTGCTAAATTGGAACAAACCCAAATCGGAGGTGCTGCCCTTTTTGTTTTAATGAAACCCTCTTTATACAATCTGGAATTGTTTCAGCACGTAACTTTTTGGCAACATTTTGGAATTAATAATTCTGATATTTTACGAGCACACCCTTCTGTTTGTAGAATATTTACGTCTTTTTTTCTTGGGTGTGGTCTATCAGATGTAGTGAAGTAAGCACATCATTTGATCAGAGGGAGTCTGGGTTAGAGCATTTCTCCCACATCTGGGACATGTGAATGAAGAATCCAGATGCACTTTTGGGATCTTGCTGTAGAAAGCACACGCTGAGACCAGTGTTAGGAGATAGTAGGTTCAATTACACCGAAAATGAATGTCTAATACATGCAAACACATGTATGTGTATTATGAAAATTGCCACCCATGGCCCTTTGAATGGAAGACAGTTCCTGTATGTTGTGTGTGTTTTCTGCAGAACTTGTGGCAGAGGAACACCTGATTGTGGATGCCAAGCTGTATGCTTACGCGCTCGCCCTGAGGCATGCAACAGATCAGCCGTTCCAAGTGCCGTTCATGAAATTCTAGGACTCTGCAGAACTTGGCGCGTTTGAGGGAGCTTCCTGAATGAAGGGTTCACCTACATAGGAGTCAAGAAGAGCAATGTCACACCCTTGTAAGGCAGCAATTTTGCCTTGAATGACGTAACCGAGCTATTTCCTGCAGGGAAAAAAAAATTGCTTAATTCAGGTTCTATATGAAGTTAACTGGAATGGTTGGTGGAAAATAAATGTCTTCCTACCATCTTTCAGTGAGTAGTTCTTACACTGCTGGATTGGTGCATTGAGTAATTGGCAGTAAAAATGGTGGTTCTTTCTTTGCCTTGGGCCTGGCCATACCTTTTTCATCAAAAGTGAAGCTCTTCTAACTAAATAGCCCCCTCTTCCTCGGCACCCATAAATAGTTGATCAACCAAGAGGCAGAATTGCCAGAGCTCTGAGAGCGGCAGGTCATGACCAGAAGCTGCACGTAACCCTCTCCCTGCCTCTAGCGTCTATGGTGTAATGCAGCATTTCTCAACCTTGGCAACTTTAAGACATGTGGACTTCAACTCCCAGAATTCCCCAG